TTGATCTTCATCGTTTTTTTTTTTTGTTATTGTCATTGTTATTGTTATTGTTGAGATTGTAAAATTACAAAACTAGGTTGTAAATATTTTAAATATAAAAAGAAAAAAGAGAGTATATATATATATAAATATTAATAATTAAATTACTTTTCTTATGTCGTCATAGTCGTCGCAATTGTCGTCATCATTGTTGTTGTTGTTGTTTAGATTATAAATTAGGTCGTGTTTTCATTTATTTTTTTTTTTTTATTTTTACATTAAAATATACATAAATATTTGCTTATCGTTTATGAACATTTATGCCCCATCCTATAAAATAAATGAGAGTAAGGTGTATGGAGGAATCGTGAGAGTTAACGTGACAGAAGAAACGAGAGTTAAACGCTTTGGATGTTCTCTGAAATCTATCTTGCTATAGGAAAGCTGAGTCTGTTGTATGATACATAGAATTTGGTTATCGCGAATGTTACAGTTCTTCTCTGACAACCGCATAATTTATGATCTCTCTCTCCCTCTCTCCCTTTTTCTCTCTCTCTCTCTCTCTCTCTCTTACTCATTCTCTCACTCTCTCTCTCTCTCTCTCTCTCCCTAGGTCTTCTCTCGTCTCTTCCTCTTTCCATCCTTCCAAAAGAGGAAATACGAAAAATAAATAAAAACGAACGAATATGGTTGCTAGTTCGACCTCGTAGAAACCCTGCTTTTTTTATTTCTTTTACTAGATATAGTTACAACGTACACGTAAACGTAAACGTAAACGTAAACGAGATATGAAAAGATAATTTCGTTATTCAACGAGAGAGAGAGAGAGAAAGAGAAAGAGAGAGAGAGAGAGAGAGAGAGAGAGAGAGAGAGAGAGAGAGAGAGAGAGAGAGAGAGAAATGCATTTATCAGGCTCACTTCCACATGTTATAAATCTTTTAGCTTCTCGTCTCGTTCAAAAAAAGGAAAGGAAAAAGAACAAAAAAAAAAGAAAAAAGAAAAAAAAATGTTTGCGACAACGCGTGCGGTTCCATTAAGATTATTTAATATAAAATTTATCATGTATTGTGTCGTAGACGCGTACTTCAATCGTACAAGACTTTGATTTATTTATCTTTTCTCTTTTTTTTTATTTTTTTTTTTTTAAATAATAGTTGAGAAACGTGCGATCATATGGCACCGAATAATATTTCTTCGTTAAACCTTACTCCTTTTTTTTTTTTTTTTTTTTGAATATATAAACAACGTAAAAAAAGAAAAATAGTAGTAAATGTGTTAAATTATAAAATTATTAGTTATCAATATCTTTTCTATCTTTCTTCTATTTTTGATTTTATACAAGATTTTAATTGATCTTTTTTCTTTTTTTGTTCTTTTGTTATACATGTATATATATATATATATATTTTTTTTGTAGTGAAAAATATATACACGCGTACGAAAATAACGTGGCGTTATTTTCGTTTGAGATTGAAACGAGTATACGGGTGGAGAAAGCAAAGGGTCGATTTTTGTTTTCAATAAATTATAAAAAAAAAGGAGAAAAAAAAAAGAAAAAAAAAGAAAAAAAAAGAGAAAGAAATAATTAAACTCGTTGTTTTCATGAACACAAAATAACGTTGCATCTCTAGGGCCCACTCGAAAAGTACAAATACGTTTCTGCAAAGAGCGATAAAACTTTTTTAATCTCATTTTTGACGTTTTTATCGGTTCGATACGATCGTTAGTTTATTTCCGATAGAATTATATAGCACCGACGTTAACGATTCTCTCAATGATGCATTAGAATTTTCCTTTTTTCGCGCCAAAGCAATGTAGGTTGATAACAGCCAAGAGATATCGCATTTCAAAGTTTACGATCGCGAAAGCGTGTCTACTACTACTACCTACTACTATCTATACTATGATACGATAAAAGCCGCGTAATGTGCGTCACGAATATCGTCGACGAGCACCAAAGGGGTTACTGTAAACGTACAACTCTAATCTCTCGAAACTTTTATCTCTCGTTTACCTTTAGAAACTTCATTTTCATTTATTTTTTATTTTTACACCGTGACTACTTCAGGGAGGATCATATTTTTCTGCGACTAGGCAAACGAAAAAAGAAAAAAAAAAAAAAAAGAAAAAAAGAAAAAAAAAAGAAAAAGTAAAAGAAAACAGAAAGAGAGAGAGAGAAGAGAAAAAAGGAGAAAGGAAAAAACTGTTAGAAACATCGTCAAGGACGAATTCGACTCGAAATTTTTCAATCGGTCAATATTATTCCCTTGACGTTAATTCAATCGCGAGGTTTATTTTTTTTTCTTTTTTTTTTTTTTTTTTTTTACACGTTGCGGACAATAAGCATTATGGATTTTTTATATTGTGTAGCAGTTATATAAATTTTTGTTTAAATTCTCATTAAAAAAGGTTGTTATCGATTTCTTTCTGTCTTTTTTTCTTTTTTCTTCGGTTCTTTCTTTTCTTTTATTTTTTTTTAGTGTCAATTTAATACGTTTTTAATGCTCTTTTTTTTTGTTTCTTAATAATTAATCTCTAAATCATCCAAAAACACAGAACAGAGAATAAAGGAAAAATCTAAGGAACATAAAAAAAATAAAAAAGAAATTTTATTTACAAAAAAATCTTGATAAAGAGTGTAATCGATTTTTTTATCGAATCGATATTTAACAACTTTTGAACCATCCTGTATGATTACATATATACATATGTATGCATGTAAATCAACGCCTAACACAATTTTTTTTTCTTGCATTTTTATAATTTAATTTCTATCCTCTCCCTCCCACGCACTGTTATCATCACTATCAATCCTCACACCCATAAAACGTACAAACCACAAGATTATTTTTCTAACAACAACAACATCAACAAACACAACAACAACAACAAAATCTATATTTATAAATAAATAAAAGATAAAATCAAATAAAATAAAAAAAAAAAAAATAATCATTCTTTATTCCTATTCGTTTCGTAAATAGAAAAATTGAAAAACTTCATGTAAATGTTTACGAATTCCGTCGATTGAAATTCAAATATTCGAAAATTTGTTAAAAAACCGAAACAGTGCGAATTAATAGAACAAATATTTATCCAACATATTTAGCGAGCGATGTCGAGAGCGTAGTATTCGAGATACAATGTTTGAGATGTTGTAAAAGATTTTGCTTCTTTTTTTTTTTATTTATTTTTGTTTTTTTTTCTCTTCCCTTCGTTTCGTTTCTTTTTAACCCTCAACTTCCTCCCCCGATAGTTCCCATTACAGAGTTGGCGAAGTTCGGACAACGGAAAGTCATGATGATATTGCGATCCGTTACTTTCTCGAGTGGTCTTTCATGTTCTCGTAATGTACTTCTTGCACCTGTCATTTAATATTAGGCTTAACTTTCGAAATCTTGTCTACTTCCTCGATAAATCTAATATTCTCCTACATATATATATATATATATATATATATAAAAAATAACTGGAATATATTTATATTAATATTATTTATATAGTATATATATATTTTTTTTTTGTAATATTTCGATTGATCAAATGGATAAGTAAATATCGAATATAATATTATATATATAAATATATATATATATATATTTTATATATAGTATTTATAATATATAATATTATATTCTATATATATATATATATATATATATATATATATATATATATCTACAAACGAAATAAAAAACGTGTGAAAAATCTACGTGTTTAGAAGTGTTAAACTAAATTATTATTCATCAGATGAGAATATGGGAATCGCACGTAGTTTCGTTTCATGTGTATATATTTCTATTTCCCTAGAATCGATCTCTTGGGTACGACAAATTTGATGATCTGGTATTATTTTTGTATACCACATGAGATTACTATATTACCTACCTCTATCCATCTATCTACATACGTGATCGCCCATACATTCATCCATTCATCTATATATATATATACACACACACACATACACAAGCATACACACATGCATATTATACATACATACATATACACACACATATATACATACATACGATATCTACCTATGTATGTACATACATACATACATACATACATACATATAAACATACATGAAGCGTGCCAAGAATTTTCTTCTTCGAAAAGTGGGTCGTAAATACAGGCGAGAATCGAGAATAAAATTCTTCACGTACATATACATACATATGTACGTAGAGTACATCACATCACATCACGTTACATTACATTACATTACATTACATAAGTACATACATCGATGGGTGCTTGCTTCAACTACGTAAATAGAAGATGTGGAAAAGCACCCGATATATTGCGAACCCCCAAATGTGCCCTCTTGATATATTATACGTACGTAATGTATTTTTATGTCATAGAAATTAAATTAAACGATTAAAGTATTATTACACGGAATGAAAGAATTCCTCTACCATCTCTACCTTCTATTTAATCCTATAACCCACCAATCCCCGCCGCCCATTTTCCTTACTGAAAAAGTTTCTAAGTGATTTTAATAATCGATTTCACTCTCCTTCGAGACCTTTCTTTTTTTTTTTTTTTAGATCTCTAATCAGGCACGTACATGATTTTCATTATGCGACTACGTTCTTTTACAATCCGTAAACGAAATTGATCTATGAAGTGTATCAAACAAAAAAATAAAGAAAAAGAATAAAATGAAATAATTTGTTTTTTAAAATTTCTTAGAAACTTTCTCGTCTTAATCCTGTATATACACATATATATTTTGTTCATGTACATATATATATATATATATATATATATATATATATATATATATATATATATATGAAGAAAATCTGGAAATCAGTAGCAAAAAGGCCGAAAAAAAAGAAAGAAAATGTAATATATTGCGATGCATGCAAATTTTTTCTTTTTCTTTTTTTCTTTGGTTATCACCATCGTTGTCTACGTTGTTCTCCTTCTTCGTCTTATTATTTATTTATTTATTTATTTATTTACTTATTTATTTATTTATTTATTTATTTATTTATTTAGTTGCTTACCGTAGTGGAAGCACTGGAACTTCTGTGTTGTTTGACAGGTGGACTACCTTGTTCCGTAATTACTTCTGAATTAAATTGACGATTTATACCAGGCGCCATTGGATTCTGCACGGATGGTTCAATATCGAGGTAACAGCGGCTTTCCAAATGGCTTTGAGCCTTTCTTTCCTCGAGAACTATCTTTCGGGCTGCACAGAATATCCTGTAATACACCTGAAAGAGATTATGTAAATTGAAATTTATCACACGATATTTTGACACGGATATCATCGAATTATCTAAATACTACGAAATGATTTCTATAAATTTCACGATATTAATTACGATAAAGCATGTTACCATAAATGTAAAAAATAACACTACGGTCATTCGATATCGTTACCATTGATATATAAATAAAAATTCTTTATGGTTCGGGGCAAGGTATGTGTTTAAAAATTCACGTATAAACATGCACTCCACCGTTTCGGTTACCTGCACATAGCTTGGGGAAAATGTATAGTTTTCTCTCTCTCTCTCTCTCTCTCTCTCGAACGATTAATAGATGAACGGTTAATAATTAAACAACATGGAAGCTTGGTGTGTTGTGCAGGATAAAGTGTCTGCTATTAGTATTAATAATAATGAAACAAACTATATTCCCAGTTGCTTTCTGTGAAAGCATATTGCTATGTTTGAATTAATGTATGATATATGTATGTGTATGTGTATATATATATATATATATATATAGGATGATGTTAATGAAGGCAAATCGACGAAGATCGAGAATAATTTGCTGGGAATCAAATTTTCAGCCATTAGACAAAAAAAAATGAAGAAAAAAAAAGAACAAAATTGCGATGTCAAACGAAGGGGATAAATGACGAAAATCAAGAATAATTTTCTGGGAGCGTAATTTCGGGTGATTAAAAATAATAGAGAAACAAAAAAAAAGAATTAAAAATATAAATAAAATAAAATAAAATAAAATAAAATAAAATAAAATAAAATAAAATAAAATAAAATAAAAAATTGTAATGTCAAACGAACGACGAATCGAATGAATATTGGGAATAATTTTCTCGGGAACAAATTTTCAGCCATTAGAAAAAAGAAAAAAATAATAAAATATTTAGAAGAAAAGAAACCGAAAAACAAGATAAAATAAAACAAAATGAAAAATTATAATGTCAAACGAACGACGAATGAGGATGACGGTCTTAGAATAATTTTATCGCGTACAGAAAATATTTGTTTAATTATAGAGAAATAAAAAGAAATAAAAATAAAAAAAAAAAAAGAAAAAAGAAAAAAAAGAAAGGAAGGAAAAAAGAAAATAATAAAATTATACCAAGTCGTTAACGATCGTTTGTCACTGTGTACAGTCTCGGCACTTCGTAGATTCGATATTTCACAAATGGGACGAGCAAACTCGTGTGCCTGCAAACATTATCTTTTTAAAGTGGATGAACGTAACGACGTTACACATAGGAGTCGTTAATTACAACAACGGGCGTGTGTGCACGTGTCCTTTATATCTTTTGTTTTTTTTTCGTTTTCTCTCTTTTTTTTTCTTTTCTTTTTCTTTTCTATTATGTTCTTTTTTTTTTTTATTTGTTAGTTTCTTTCTTTTTTCTTCTTCACGTTCATTTACTTTCTATTTCGAAAAGGACCAAAGGGAATATTATCTTATTCCCTTTATAACACACGAGAACGAATCGAAAAGTACAAACGTAAATATAATCTTTTCTTTAAAGCGATAATTAATGAATAAAAATATTTCGTTGAAAAAAAAAAGAAAAAAAAAAAGAAAATTGAGAAATATCAAATGAATAAATTTTATGAATAAAAAAGAATTAAACTCTTTTACCGAAGGAGAATTTTTGCATAATGTATATTTTTTATACTTCTTTTCGCAATTTTACAAAATATATATATATATATATTTTTTTTTTTTTAATTAGCTTTGTAATAATTTTAAAGAGAAAAAAAAATTTGAATTAAAATTTAATCCAAATATCGTATCAAATTAATTCTTTTTAACGACTATATCCTATTCCGATTGATATATTTATTTTCATTTCTTTTATATATATATATATTTAAATATATACAATAAATGTATTTTATTATAATAAATGTTTTTTTCTTAATTTTATATTTAAACAAATAAAGAAAGAATATATCGAAATGAAAAAATCGATATTGAATTTCGATAACGTTTTTATTAAATAACGCCATTGAAAGTATTTCGTTTATTGTCGATTGAAAAAAATAAATGAGTAACTATCTAAACGTAGTAATTAAATAAATAAATGAATAAATCATTAATGTAATAAATATAAATGGATTAGACTTCTATAATCTCGTTCCCTGTAAAATTTCAACTATTATTCATGAAGTGAGTTTAATGTAAATATTAGTTTCGAAACTTGTACAAATATTTTCAAAGCCAACGACGAAAAATCGAGTTTACCAATGTTACACATTTCTCTTTCTGTAGATTCAAACCGATCTAGTTTCTTTGTTTTCTAGGATCAAAGAATATATATATATATATATATATATATATACATAAAAGAAGAAAAGAAAAAAGGAAATAACCATACGAAACGAAACCAGACAAAACGAAACCGAAACCGAAACCGAAACCGAAACGATACAGAAACGAAAAAAAAAAAAGAAAAAAAGAAAATAACAAACAAACGAATAAATACTCGTTTCAACAAACAAACACGAAATATCGCATGAATGAAACGAGTTAAATCACGTTGTCTCTTACCAAGATACATATGCTATGCTTTTTGAAGTTTTTCTTTTCTTCTATAAAAAAGAAAAAAAAAGATAAAGAAAAGAAAAGAGAACATTAATCTCGTCCAAAAAAAAAGAAGAAAAAATAAAACAAAAAAGAAAAAGAAAAAAGAATAAAACTGACACATATTCGCATAGGCATGTATTTGTTTTCTGAAAAAAAAAAAACAGAAAGGAAAAAAAAAAAAAGAAAAAGAAAAAAAATACCAAAAAAAAGAAAGATAAATAAAAAAGAAAGAAAGAAAGAAAAAGAAGAGTATAGCGTTTGGTGCACGTGTACGCATTATCTAACGATGGGAAATGATGGACGTGAAATATTTGAACATGCCTGTAAATAATAATGGATACTTCGTTCGATATCTGGTGGCCACTCGAATTTAACTCGGCTAACACGTTATTAAGGGCAAAACAATGGCAGCTGTGATGTGGTCGCACCGGCTATGTAATCCGATCGACACGCATCGATGTTTATTTTAATTCGTATTATATTTACCGTATACCGTTATTCCCTAAACGATTGGGGGAATGTGTATTCTTTGTTAAAGGATAACAATTCGGAGATAGATCTGTGAGTCTTGGGTTATTTTAAAAGAAAAAAAAAAACAATTATATGCGCGCTTATATGTATAATATATATATATATATATATATATATATATATATATATATATATATGTATATGTATATATATATATGTATATGTATATAAAAAAAAAGAGAAGAATGTGCTCGAAAATTATATTCCCTACGATTGCAATTCAAATTCGCGGATTCGTTTAAATCGACAGTTAAATATATATATATATATTTTCTCTCTCTAACTCTCTCTCTCTCTCTCTCTCTCTCTCTCTCTCTCTCTATCTATCTGTTTGTCTCTTTCCTTCTTTATTAAAGGATAATAAATCAAGGACGAATAATGGCTACGTTTAAAAGCTTACGTAGAGAGAATAATTATTTCAAATTAATAAATTAAATTCACGAAAAGAGAGAAAGAGAGAGAAAGAGAAAGAGATTAATAGATCCTAATATGGTCTCATTTCATCATTTCCTTCTATATATTTCTCGATGAATATTATATCATGTTTAAACGTTCCGCATATGATTAAAATCTAATCAATTATGAATCTCTCATATAATATTCTATTACAAAATTAAAAGAAAATTCAAAGAAAAAAAAATATATATACATACGTAAATAATAATGGAATGAAAGAGAAAAGATTGGATTTGACATGATAAGAATATTTTTTCTCTAACGTGCACACATATACAAACACACAAACGCATACGCGCGCGAGCGCGCACACACCAATGTGAATATTTATAAGCGTAAATTAAAGACGAATGAAAAAACGATAATCAAATATCGTCGATTGACGTAACCACGATAAATTTAGAAGAAAAAAAAAGAAAAAAAAAAAAGAAAAAAAAACAAAACAAAAGAATAAAAAAAAAGGAAAAAACAGGAAAGAAAAAAAGAAAATTGAAAGAGAAAAAAGGAAAAAACAAAAAAGAAAAAAAGAAAATTGAAAGAGAAAAAAAGGAAAAAAAAAGAAAAAAAGAAAAAGAAACATGAAATAAGTTTCAATCAAGTCGTTAAATATGCATATCCATCTATCTCGTAACATTAATAATACCAATGACAACGCAACAATAACAATAACAATAATAAAATAA